CATGGGGAAGTCATTAAACTCTGAATCAGCTTGACTCCAATCATCGGCCTTTTTTACCTCACCCTGGGCCTTCTCAAGTCTCTTTTCCTCGGCAACTCTTCTCCTCTTCTGTCTCTCTGTGGCAGCCTCCTGTCTCTTGGACTCCGGAATATCTTGGCTAGAAATCATGAGAGCCCCTATACTGCCAGTCTTCTCTCTCTGTGCTTTGACAAATGCCAGTTCGATCACAGGAATCTTCAGCTCACGCTTGCAAATACAGGAGATGTGGGCCTCGGATTTACAGTCACGATCGCATCCAAACTCAGGACAGAGAACAATTGGGCACTTGCAAGTAATTATGTCAAATAACTGGTCCAGTTGCTTAGGCTGTCCTTAACTGCAAGTTTTCCTCTCCCAAGAGAGATATCTCTTGCCTTTTTTCCCAACTGGCTAGCAGTCTCTCACTAATCTTCTTCTGACTTGTTATGACTGGAGGCTTGAACTGAGCGTTAGCCAGAGTGTACTGTGCCAAGACAGCTTTGGTCATATCACTGGCAATGTCTTTGTTTGTGTAAGTTCTTTGGTTCTTTTCACTGATTTGCCTGATTAAAACACCGTATCTCAAAGCATCTCTCAATGTAGGCAACTCCGACTTCAGGAGCTCTCTCCTAGACCCAAGATAGTGACTGAGATGGCTGGATTTTTGGTTCCTCGTCCTGACACAAGCAGCCATCGCAAATATTATCAACTTATAAATGCATCAGAATCTGAAACAGAAAAAAATATTGTTAGTTGGGGTGTTAAAGAATGAAGTCAGAAAGCAATGTTCACTATTTAATTGGAATGCACTAATGCAGCTGTAAGTTAGATTTTCGATAAATTTCACGCTAAAATTTACCTAGCAAAAGGTTGCAAAATATTGAAACTGAAATTATTTTCTGTTTATATACACTAAAATCTACCAAAAAAGTGATGGGCCATTAGTTTTAGCTGATCTTCCCTCCTATGACACACCCTACTACTACATCATCAGGGCCCTAGTAACACCATCTGTGAGGGAATTACTACACCACGTCAAGCCCCTCATAACACCACCTGTGAGGGAACTAGTACTCCACGTGATGCCCATCATAACGCCATCTGTGAGGGAGTTACCACACTACGTGTCTGCTGTTCAACACCTCAGCTCACATGATCTAAGTGTGTAAACATTAATCTGTGTGTTCACTGTATGTTCCTTCACCTTTCTCTAATGAAGGCTTTTGTTATACCACCAATGTATGTAATAAGTCATTTATGTCCGATGTATATTTTCAGCCTTCGGGCTGCAAACTTTTTCAATAAACCGTTTATTATTATTATAATTATTATTATTAGATATGTTCCAAGAGAGGTCGCTTTAAACCAAATTCGCACTAAATCAACGTGTTGCTTCAATGAATAATTTAGTTTGGTACTTGAGAGAAACACAAATTACTAAAACAGCTGAGAGTCTACCCAGATGCACCTCAGCCCATCTCCTAGAATAAACAAAACATTGTTTTTTGAAGTATAATGGTATAACAAACACTCATAAATCAACACAGCTAAAATTATGGGACGTGAAATACAGGTTGACAATCCCTTATCCGAAATCCTTGGGGCCAGACATATTTCGGTTTTCGGAATGGTTAGGTTGCTAGGTTAGGTTAGTTTCAGTTCAGTTCAGTTAGGTTTGGCATAAATGAAGTTGTGGGATAAATATAGTCCATAAATACTCTAGTACAGTTTATTTGTAAGGAAAACATTCAGTAAAACTTCAAACAGATACAGTAAAGGTACATTACAGCTGGCTTGTTTATCATGAAGAAGACACATCAGTGTTGTCATCATCAAGTAGGAGTCGGACATCTGAAGATGGGCCAGGAACAGGACTCTCAAGTGATGACTCACACTAGGACAGATGGCCTTTTTAAAGGCTTCTTCCAGTGTCATTTGTTTTATTAACAGTGGTTTCTGTCTAAGCAGTCTCTCTTTAATTGAATAAACTGCCATAATATCGTGCTCACTGATAAATGCACGTTGTTCAAGGGCAGTAATTAACTGATCACAGGTTTTCACCACATCGTCTATGGAGACTTTTTCACCTGTGTTCACAATTTCATCATCATCATCATCATCACTACTATCCTCATGCTTATCTTTATTTAGCACCATTTCAGCTATTTCCCCATCACTCAATGAATGCACAACAGGTGCATCATTGTCAATGTTCAGGACTTCTTCAATGTCGGCTTCCTCCAACTTATTTACACTTTCGGAAGATAAAGCTTTGGCGTAAGTAAGGAGGTTTGCTATCATCATCTTCTCTTTAGTGACACAAAATCCTTCAAAGTCTTCATCTGCATCTTCATTTACTTCAAACATCGTTGTAGGCCAAAGTTTGTGCCAAGCATTTGTTAATGTTGGTTTATCAACAGCGTTCCAAGCATTAGGAACTGAATAAATGGCATCCTTAACATTGAACTCTTTTGTGAAGCTTTAGATTCCTACGCCTCTGTTGACTGCATCAAGCATACAGTTCAAAAAAACATCTTTATATTTGCTCTTCATGGAGCGTAAAATTCCTTGGTCACAAGGCTGTATTAAAGACGTCACATTGGGGGAAAGTAAATGCCAAAAACATTACTTTTAACAAGAAGTTCAGCAGGGAGATGTGCGGAGCAATTGTCAAGGAACAAAAGAATTTTACAGTTTGCATTCCAGTCCAGCTTCCCTGCAATGAGCTTGTGCTGCTGGTACAAAGTGGTTATTGAACCAGTCAGAAAATATTTCTCTGGTTACCCATGCTTTCTTGTTGGCATAATAATGCACAGGTAAATTGTGTACACCTTTCAGACATGTTGGTCGTCGACTTTTTCCAATCACTGCTAACTTTAACTTGTGTGTGCCTGCAGCATTGGCACACCCAAGAACAGTCAACCTGTCCTTAGCATCCTTAACACCTATTGGTGCTCTCTCATCAGCCGTTGTTAACGTTTTTCTAGGAACCTAGCGCCAGTACAGAGCTGTTTCATCAGCATTGTAAATTTGTTCAGGGCTAAGGTTTTCATCAGATATAATTTTGGCAAATTCATCAATGTAATGTTCAGCTGCTTCATGATCAGCAGAAGCTTTTTCACCTCAGATATTTAATTCCATGACTCTTCTTAAATTTCTGCAGCCAACCTTCTGAAAATTAACACTCACCATGAATGTTCAGTTCTTCATGGTATATTTGAGCTTGTTTCATGACCATCAAACCAGTCAGTGGCATACGTTCACTTCTTCGTTGTCGAATCCACTCAATCAGCACGCAGTCAAGATCTTCATTTTTTAGCCCTATGCAATGTTTTTCTGTTTTTCATTATTTTTAGGTCATCACTGTCAGCGTAAAACTTCAACAACTTGTCATTCTGTTTCTTTAAGTCATATACGGTGGTAGTTCCCACACCATATTTTTCAGTAAGATGCCGCACAGGTACACCACGATCAAGCTTCTGTAACAACTCCACTTTCTGTGCTATCGATAATGAAAGACGCTTCCTTTTCTTCTCACTATTACCCATAGGGGTATCTGAAGCTCTTTTTGGCATTTTCAGTGAAATTAAACAAAATTACATAAAAATATAAGGGCAGCAGATGCAAATGTGTGACTAGTAGCAACACTGAGACACAAGTGACACCTCACTCACACCCGCTGCCCGGCGTGGGTCAAGCGCCCGGTAGCGTCAGGTCCAAGTCATGTTCGATTTCACACAGTGATGCAACACGAAAAAACTTTCGGTTTTCAGAGCTTTTCGGTTTTTGGAATGCCGGATAAAGGATTGTCAACCTGTAGTTTGTTTACTAGCGATCAGCTGATGGGAAGATTGAGGGAGGAGGGGGGGAGTTAGATGATATGTTTGCCAGTTGATGCCAAGGTCTAGTGCTTATTTATTTATCTGTCCTTAAGAGTGATTTTAAGTTTTTCTCTTATAAAATGTCATTGAACTGACATGGGAGAATATAATCAACATTGCTGGAATTCTTATAAGATAGTGATTAGCTTCTAGTGCTTATTTATTTATCTGTCCTTAAGAGTGATTTTAAGTTTTTCTCTTATAAAATGTCATTGAACTGACATGGGAGAATATAATCAACATTGCTGGAATTCTTATAAGATAGTGATTAGCTTGAATATATACATGCTATAGTTCACATTAGACATACAAATTTTAGTTCTAATTTTTATTACAAAGGGCTAAAATTTTTATCTCTTGTGCAAAATATATGCCGTTTATATTCAAATTATTCGCTGTCTTGCAAGGATTCTATCAATGCGAATTATATTCTCCTAACTTTAGTCTGTGATATTATATAAGATAAAAACTTAAAGCCTATAACCACCAAACCCTGGCTGGGAAGATAGGTGGGGGGTGAGGGGTGACAGTGACACGTTTGACAGTTGGGGCTGAAGGTCTAGTGAAGTATTTATTTGTTTATTTATGTCCTTTAGATTGAGTTCTTGTTTTTTGTTTATAAAATGTCACAGAAGTGACCGGGGAGAATATAATTTACATTGATGGAATTCTTATAAGATAGTGGTTAATTTAAATATAATCATGCTATAGTTTGCACCAAACAAAAATTTTAGTAATCATTTAGTACATTATTTTGAGTACATGTACAAACGTACAGCTTTGCCCTTAGGACAGTGTAGCGTGCTCATAGAAACATTAGGCGTGAATTATAAAATATGATGCGCCAGATTGACTTGCCCAAAATAGGAAATATTCGATTTAAATTAAAACGTTGTCCTTAATTGTGGGTGTCGCTTTAAAAAATTATAGAGGGTATAGATAGGAGGTGGTAAGTAGAGGAGAGAGGGGTAGAGGCAAGGTGTGGTAAGGGGAGGGAGGGTTGATATAGTCACCCCCTTACAGACAGGGCGACCCAAGACGGGACCTGGAGGGCAGAAAAAATAAATAAAAAAATAGAGGAGAATAAGATTATACACCTACCTATTCAAAATGCCAGTCTTGGCATCTAGGGCAACAATTTCCATCTCATAATATTGGCTAAAGATGGAAAGTTCAATTGCTCCACCCCATGATGTATCCTTCAAGATCCATTCACAGTATTTAGTGTTGGACTGTTCCAATACTGCCTCATCATAACGTTCAGGGTGACTTTTAACCATAGTAGCCACAAGCTGGCGCATTTCTCGCACTTGTTTTCCTTCTATTTTTTCACCACCTGAAAAAAGTAAATAAATACTGATAAACAAAATAGGGCATTTCTTCTCATATATCTAAACAGTAAACCCTTGCCCAACGCAGGGGTTAGGTTCCTCGAAAACGGTGCCTTGGGCAAAATCGAGTTGGGCAAACTTGGCATCTTATGGGAAAAATGGGGTGGTGGGATCATGGCCGCATATATCTTTATCACGTGAAATGAATACCTTTTGAACATTTCCATAATGCATAAATATGATAATAATAAAACTAACATACTATTAACAATAAAAAATATTAATAATAAGCAGTATAAAACCATATTACTCGGGACCTGACCGGTGCCGGACCATGGAAATTGCCGGACCATGGAAATTCATCCTTTTCCTGGATAGATAGTGACTTGTGCTTATGCTTGGAAGCACTAGCACCACTTTCTCTGCATCATGGTCTCTTTGAAGACATATTGAAGGGTTAAATGTCGTATAGTAGCTTCTCAAATTTCGCGAGTTTTTAATTCAACGTATTTTATTGGAACACACAAAAAAATAAATAAATAAAAATTTTGACGGCGGAAACTGGAATTTCGACGGGTTTGAACGGCCCGCCAACGTGCAGACGACGTGCATAATTGTGTAAACAGCGTCATTTCTCTTATGTACAAAAGATTCATTATTGTTTATTACTGAATGTCTTTTTTATTGAATTAATGTTTATGTGTGGAAAATGAGCAATACAATTCATTAATAATACGTAGAATATTAAAACACACGAAGAAATGACACAGCATTGTTTTTGTTGATTACAAAACCAGTGACTGACTGGTTCTACATATAAAACTGAAGAAAATAAGACCTTGGTTGTAGGTGTAGTAAAATTAATATGGTTGTTTTAAGTAATGTTATTTAATGTTAATAAATGGAACAATAGAAGTAGCTAACGATAATGGTAAAGAAAAAAGGGAGATCGCGTATGTAAGTGCGCACACGTGAAAACATATTGTCATTACTTTACATAAGAATATGAAAGCAACACTTATTTACTGTTCATATATATTTTAATTAATGTTTCTGAATTTGTTTTTATTGAATTAATGTTCGTGTGTGCAAAATTAACAATACAATTTATTAATAACGAGGAGACGAGACGGCTGCCGGCATTGTTTATGTTAAAGCTTACAAAACCACTGACTGATTGGTTCTACATATAAAACTGAAGAAAATAAGACCCTGATTGTAGCTGTACAGTAGTAAAATTAATGTAAAAAAATTAATATGGTTGTTTGAAGTACCTGTAATGTTATTTAATGTTAATAAATGGAACAATATAAGTAGCTAACCATTAATGGTAAAAAAAAAAAAGTGAGACTGCGCGTATGTAAGTGTGCACACGTGAAAACATATCGTCATTACTCTACATAAGAAGATGAAAGCAACACTTATTTACTGCTCATATATTGAAGGGAAATGTTGCACTCTGTATAGAGCACAGAGAGAGAGAGAGAGAGAGAGAGAGAGAGAGAGAGAGAGAGAGAGAGAGAGAGAGAGAGAGAGAGAGAGAGAGAGAGAGAGAGAGAGAGAGAGAGAGAGAGAGAGAGAGAGAGAGAGAGAGAGAGAGAGAGAGAGAGAGAGAGAGAGAGAGAGAGAGAGAGAGAGAGAGAGAGAGAGAGAGAGAGAGAGAGAGAGAGAGAGAGAGAGAGAGAGAGAGAGAGAGAGAGAGAGAGAGAGAGAGAGAGAGAGAGAGAGAGAGAGAGAGAGAGAGAGAGAGAGAGAGAGAGAGAGAGAGAGAGAGAGAGAGAGAGAGAGAGAGAGAGAGAGAGAGAGAGAGAGAGAGAGAGAGGAGAGAGAGAGAGAGAGAGAGAGAGAGAGAGAGAGAGAGAGAGAGAGAGAGAGAGAGAGAGAGAGAGAGAGAGAGAGAGAGAGAGAGAGAGAGAGAGAGAGAGAGAGAGAGAGAGAGAGAGAGAGAGAGAGAGAGAGAGAGAGAGAGAGAGAGAGAGAGAGAGAGAGAGAGAGAGAGAGAGAGAGAGAGAGAGAGAGAGAGAGAGAGAGAGAGAGAGAGAGAGAGAGAGAGAGAGAGAGAGAGAGAGAGAGAGAGAGAGAGAGAGAGAGAGAGAGAGAGAGAGAGAGAGAGAGAGAGAGAGAGAGAGAGAGAGAGAGAGAGAGAGAGAGAGAGAGAGAGAGAGAGAGAGAGAGAGAGAGAGAGAGAGAGAGAGAGAGAGAGAGAGAGAGAGAGAGAGAGAGAGCAGCCGAACTGCCGGTGTCATGGTCACGTTGACTGCTGATCTATTTAACTAATGATTCTTATTAAACTCCACGCCCGCAAAATATGAGTAAGTTAGCGACCCCTGAGAAGACGTGTTTTTTTCCCCATAGACGCTACACTTGTGTCCCCTCCCAGAGTCCCGCCTTTGTGAAGACAGTTATCAATGCGTGGTTTATTCCACTTTCTCCTGGGAAGCTCAATCTTGAATTAGTCTGTGTAAATCAACTCAAGTAATTTGCCAGACCTTTGTCAACTGAGGGTCATCTTTGAATGAGTAACAGTTAGTTTGTTTGTAATTATTGTCATTGCGTGAGTAGCGATCACTGGCAACTCAGGGGTATTTATACCAGTGCACATCGCAGGGAAAGCCTTCCCTGATGCTGCTTCAATGTTTCTCCAGGTATGTTTTTGTGTAGCCATTCAGTTAATTCAGTCAATTGTAGTGAATATCAGTGTTCACCAGTGTTCATGATTTAACAGTTGAATTGTCATTCACCCAGTGTAGAAGTAATATAACGTAAATACGTCTGTCATCTAGACAAGAGAGTTGTTTGTGTTGTCATGCTTCCCAGTCCTTCCCTGACGCTGCTTCAATGTTTCTCCAGATCCCAATTGTGATTCTTGCATCGCTCAACTACTCAACAACGGCCCCGGATGTAGTAGATAACCAGCCGGAACCATATATGAAACGATGGCACCGATGCGGCCTGATTAATGTGCCCCACGGCTTCGTTGGGCCAGACCCCAGACTCGCCATGTGTCTGGCTACCCCACAATAACAACGGTCGTGAGCCCTAGTGTTCTACCCTGGGTTACTCCTTGGAAGTATATGTCCACAGAGAGTGTGGTAACATGTATGTTAGGGATAATTAGTTGGAAATAATTATCCCATGTTGGGTAGTGGCCCCTGTATATGCTAGTGTCAGTATTAACGTATATGTTGAGTAAAGTAATCTGCAATGAGTGCCATGTAATGTAACACCAGTAATGTTGTAAGAGTAAGAATGTAGGAACTGAGTCTGCAATAAGCCCAGGAGTTGAGCCTGGTAGTTATATGATTAATACTATGTCTTTTCCCCTTTGATTTCATATTAATAAACTTGTTTATAGTGTACTTTAGGCGTATTCCTTTCTCCCACAGTATTTTACCTTTATTTCCATCCAAGTGACTTGATACTAGAATTACCATACCCATGTGCCTAGACCCTCGACCATGCTACCAAAAGAATAGGTGACGGAACTGAGTAAGACTAAGAGAAGTAAGTAAGATGAGGGTGGTGTAGATACAGTGGGAACGCGCGCCCTCACACCGGATGTAAACAAACCTTAATTTCCCGCGGCTTTGTTGTTTTTGTTTTTTTACGGGGATTAGCCCACCCAGGCATAGGTCACCGACCCACATTGGGGCCTGAGAGGCAAAAATTTAATACTCCTGTAATAATAATAATAATAATTCAGATAAGTAAAAAAAAATAATAATAATAAAAAATTAAAAATAAAATAAAATAAAAAAGCTGCCTATCTACCTATTGGTCAAACTAAAATCGTTCCGGACCACAGAATGCCGGACTAGAGAGGTACAACCTGTATTAACTTAATCCGCCCTAATGCAACCGAATGCGACATTACTATGTCCGTACCTTAACATAAATAAATACAACAATATTGAATAGCTGTAACATTTTATTTGCTTAAAACCTTTACTTTTATTTGATTCCTCTGACTATGTTTTGGGATTAAGTGGGCCCTTTTGGACCCTATTGAGTGGGCCCTTTTACAAGTTTTCCCGGTAGAAATTTTTGACCCAGTCCACCACTGATGACGATGATATAGTAGATGTTGTGACGCCTTCTGATGACGGTGATTGATGAAGAAGACTTCAATGATGATGAAACTGGAATGATTTTATTTCTTAAGCTGATGAATCATTAGGATCATTGGCTTCAGGCTCCAGATCACCAGATGATGTTGATGTTGAAGTTCATAGAGTTCTGGTTAGGCAGATGATGTTGATGGTCGGGGTGACCATGGCTTCGGGAAGAAGTCTCTTATTTTCTGTTGTTTGCCTTTTCGATGCAAATCTTTCAAAATTTCTCTGTATGGCATACAAAGATCATCAGGGGCCCTTTTGAACTTTTAACCTCTCTCCATTATTGGAGAATTCAGAGGTCAACTTAATTGTTAATTTAGGTTTTAAAGTTCCACTTCAGCATCATCATCATCACTTTTACTGTCATCTGTTGTAAGCTCTTCAAGCTCCTCACTTATTGGTTCTTGAAAATGCAATTCCAACAGTACATTCACCTCACCTTTCTGCATGTCATCAAAACCCTCACCTTCAATTTCCTTTGCAAGTTTCTCTATTTTTGCAATTTCCTTGTCAACTGTCAGAAATACTCTGAAATCATGAACAATTTCAGGACAAAGTTGGTGCCAGCAAGCATTCATGGTGGAAGGCTTCACTTCATCCCAAGACAATTTTATAATGTCAAGGCAGTCTTTGATGTTAAATACCTTCCAGAATTCCATCAGTGTTTCATATGCAAAATCATCCACTGCTTCAGTTGCGCGCCTATAGACATTTCTCGTATAATATGACTTAAATGCCTTGATAACACCTTGATCCATTGGTTGCAGAATTGAAGTGATATTGGAGGTCAAGGACATAACTTCCACATAGGGATGCAAGAACTGAAGCATTTCTGCATCATGGCCTGGGGCATTATCTAACAATAGCAACACCTTTGAGTCAAAATTCTTCTTATGAGATATTCCTTGAACTCATGCACAGA